GTGCCTTTTCTTCACAGAGAAGAATTTCACCTGTTTTGTGATAAATGGTGAAATTTTGAAATTTTCAGCCCAAATTCAGTTCAAACACATTTTGTTCTTGCTGCCGTTGCTGTAGTTTCAGAAATTAAATCTAAAATTTTCATGCTGATACAAGCACTTCCTGATGCAAAACAAAACAAAACAATCACATTTCACTTCAAAGTATGCCATGTATTTCATTGAGTACCACTTCCATCACCGAGCCATCCTGCTCAGCCTACCACCTTGTGCTTTCAAAACAAAAAGAGAACATATTTTCATTCATAACTTTTACTCCTTTCCAGGGGATGTGAGGAGCTTAGTTTACTCCAGAAAACCCCTGGGTTATGCCTATATAAGCTCCAGTTCCTAAAGGATCAAGCTGGCAAGTCAAGAGATACAGATCAGACAATAGGCAGACCTTTGAGTCTACAAATTGAAGGTTGAATGATTGGCAAACAACCTTTCCTCATGAAAAATTATGCTACAGCAACACAATAGTAATGGGAGCCAAAAGTATGTCTATTCCTGGTTTGTAGACCAGGTTTTAGTTATGCTATAATCCTCTCAGTATGCCTGCTTAGGATCCCACAATCACACGAGTCATGAACACTACCCACAAATCCTGCGGCTTCCATGCCGAGCAAGCGACACGCCAGATGAAGAAGGATGGAAAATATACATGTGGAATTGTTCTGGGAACTTAAAGCACACATAACAGTAAACAAAGCAAATATGGTACAAAACCTGTTGCTATTTTCACAGCATTTGTGGAGCAAAGCTGCATAAATGCAGAAGGATGTATACTGCCTCACACCTTTCCACAGATTCCAGCAAATTAAGCACAGCAGCACAAACAGCAGCAGGGAGAAGAAAACGCTCTGTAGAGGAGCTGCCCTGCTTGCTGCTGCACTGCAGGTATATGTTTGGGTATGTGAGCGAGAGATAAATAAAAAGTGTTAAAATTACTTTTGCTCTTGTTTCTTTCACAGCCTTGGCTGTTATGGAGATCTGAATGGGGAGAGACTCCCTCAGTGCCATCCTCCCTCCTCCAGGCACAGCCTAAGCCAGTTTGAAAAGGTTGCTGCTGTTGTTTCCTGTCCCATTTGGGGATAGGCATCACGAAGTCAGTGCCAGTTTGAGCTGGTGGCTCACAGACTGCCTCTGTTCCCCACTGAAAAGGCAATGCCACTGTCAGACACCGGAGCACTTGCTTAAGTGGCACTACAGACAAATTTTGGCTGGTGGCAGGAGAGATGGCTGAAAGCCAGCTAACAGAGAAGAGCAGTATCAATCTCTGTGCTGAGGGAATCCTCTGAAAATGCTACTGAAGCAAACAGCAACTGCTAGCGGCACAGTGGCAAACAAGACACAAGCGATTCCGCTCTCATAGAGGAGAGGAAAAGGCAAACGGTTGAACTGAAGTGATCAACATGAACTTGAACTGTGGCACAGGGCAAACATGTGGCATGCCGTATGGAAACGCAGAACAAAACAGAAAGCTTGGAACAAAATGAAATTAAAAATCTGCTTTTATTTCAAATTACTCCACTAAACATCTAACTGAAAATTGTGTTGAAGTTGATATGACTTTGTGACATGTTGTTCCTTGAAGGCTGCCATTTTCCATCAAAAAAAAAAAGGTATGAAAAACGTTTCAATCTGGTTACCTTCTATCCAGCAAGGCTAGAAAACATTAAATTGTAAGCTAAAAAATAACATCACACTATTAGTCAGCAAGAGATAGATGTTCAGCCGGCATCTATCATAATATTTTCAATAATCCATAGATACCAAATGCCTGGAAAGGAAGGATAACAATCACTCCAAGCATGGATTTTGAACTTTAAATGCATTTGATAAGTTAATTTTTTTAAAGACAGGCCCTGTGCAGCCTCACTTTGTTCACTGTTTCTAGATATAACCTATCTCAAAAAGGGTGATCAAATGTCCATCTCCAAAACAAATGAGCCTGGAGCATTAGAGCATTCTGTATTCTGAGGGGTCATCTGTTGAACAGCCTCACACTAAAGCATCCCTATAAAAGTACCTGAAAGTACCTAAGCTGTCAAATCTAGAGTTTATTGGATGAACGTACTTTAAGAAAGAAATTGAATTCTTTCTATATAATTTCTAATAAGTATTGGAAGAAAATCAGATCAAGAAGAATCAAAAGGAGTTAAAATGAAGAATCTAGAGCATCTTCCCTATGAGGAAAGGCTGAGAGATCTGGGACTGTTTAACCAGGAGATGAATAGGCTCAAGGGGGACCTCATCAATGTATATAAATACCTGAAGGGAGGGTGCAAAGAGGACAGAGCCAGACTCTTCTCAGTGGTGCCCTGTCACAGGACTAGAGGTAATGGGCACAAACAGAAACACAAAAGAAAAAAGCCTTTTACTCTGAGGATGGTTAAACATAGGAAGAGAGGTTGTGGAGTTTCTATCTTTGAAGATACTCAAAAGCCATCTGAACTCTGTTCTGGGCAATCAGCTCTTTGTGTCCCTACTTGAGCAGGGTGGTTGGACGAGATGATCTCCACTGGTCCTTGGCAACCTTAACCACCCTGTGATAAACGGATGAATTATTCCCAGTCATGCAAAACTATATAAGAACAAAAAAGCAAGAAGTAATGGCAAAAAACTTGAAATATTTCCATATTTGTCAGGGAAATATTGGACAATATTTGTCAATAGTACACCTATTTGTCCTATAATACACCTAAAGGCATAATGAGACTAGAGGGATAACTCCACCAAGCTCAACTACCAGGCCTAAAGCTAGCCCAAAATTCTTATACATAAAGCTCAAACACACCTGCAACATTAAAGGATAAAATAGAATCCATAAATTTTCAAACTCTTCCTTTCACATTCATTAAGTTTAATGAAATAATTTCCATTGGCAAATAATTTCCATTCACTATATCAGTGAATGACCAGAGTGGGAGCTGAAATAACCATCAGCAGAGCACAGGCAGAGCGCAGTCTATTTTAGTTCTTGCCCTCTGTCCTCTATGGAACACTACAATCACAGAAACACCTACTAGGTTATGTAGTTTATTTGCCTGCCAGCATGAGATTCTTCCCCTTGATAATTTTTAACACTTGTTTTTGCCAAGTTAAGAGCAATGTGTCGCATCTAAACAAAATTAGCTTATTATGAGCCCCGACTGTATTTTCCAGTACCCAATGGATCATGATGCTGTATTGTATAACAGGGAAGGTGCAAAATTGTTCAGACAACATGCCAGGCCAAAATAGTTGAGTCAGCAACATAATAGGGTCCCTCTGAGTGCTTGGTCCCAATACAAATACTCTTATCTCCTTGCTATAGCACAGTGTCCTCTCCCCTGCTCAAGGCATACCTGATCAGTTCTGGCATCTCACAGGTGTGAGATGTCCAACCACTGTGCCACATGGCAGTAATTTGCAAGAAACAGACCTCCTGCTCTTGTGGAAGAGCAGGAGGTAATTATTTTAGTCTCATACTTAGATGCAGCTTTACATACCCCCAGTCTCTCCAGTGATCCCACTGATCACCAGACTCTTGTCACCCTGGAGAGGACTTGAAAAAACAACTATAACCATGGTCACCTCAAAGTGTTCACAAGAAAAAAAAACCCAAAACACAACCCTAAAGGAGATGGCTGAAAAAGAAGTGACTGTGATGAAAGAGACATAGAGAAAATGTCAGAGAGCTGATAGCAATCATCCTCTTTCAAATGACCCAGTTACACAGGACAAGTTGTCCCAAAGAGGAGCTGCAGGGCTCCCGTTTCTCACCAAACCCATTTGGGTGAAACACTTGTGGTGTCATCTACTGGGTAGCAGTTTCTTTGCATGGTTTTCTACAAAAATCTAAATCGCACAAAAGCAGAGAGCTCATCTATTTAAACATTTTTCCATTTTATCTGCACTCAAAAGCTTTCAGCCATGTTTCTAACTATCTCAGAGAATCACCCAAGGAAGTTAGCCACACAAACTGTCCAAGATTAGGAAACACAGACCATTCCACAGCTACCTAAAACAAATAAAATACAAAATAATGCCTTACTTTCAACTTTAGGAGAAGTTGAAAGACCACTAGAACAGTTATATTAAAATAATGAGGCAGCACTAAAAAAATTGAGACATGACAAAAATAAGACTATTCACATAACCCTAGCTCATTCACCATAAGAATGTACATTGTAAACAACCTTTTTTTCCCAGACACTGGCTATTTTCTGCAAACTTAAACACAGATGTGGGTGCTTAGCAACTGTAAAACAAAGTCATTTACCTAAATAACTGAGTATAGACTAAGGCACTTCATTTTATATATGTACTGTTAAAATACTGTGACTGCTTTGCAATATCATTTAACATGTAGAGACAGAATCCTCGTATATGGATTTTAAAAACAAGTCACCTTTGCATTGAAGCAAAGAAATAGGGATTTGAGTCTGCTATGTAAGTATTTATGTGTGTACATATGTACAGGTGCATACTCTATGTACATGTTACCTACATATGCAGCAGATAAGGACAGAAAAAGACCTAAGGAAAGAAATTATTAACATGTTTAAAGTATTCGATTAGTGTGAGAACAAATGCAGTTATACAATGTAAAGTTTCGTGTCATTCAGTGTATCAAAAATTGTTATGAATGAGGAAGAGTATTTTGTTACAAATGCCCATATTTGAAAATGGAGACAAACAGGAAAATAAGGAAAGTTCCTATGGTTCAGAAACATTGTGAAGCCACTTCACTGCAGTATTTCACTAGTATTTCCAAACACAGAGCATGAACTTTATCAAGTTACTCATTTCACTGTCTTCATAAAAGGTTTTACTAAATGAATTAGTCAACAGTATCTGCAAAACTAAGTTTCTGAAGAGGACTAATACATTTCGTTAAAGTAGCTGATCTGCTTGGAAAAAAAAAAAAATTTCTTTTTTTTTTTTACAGCACACAGACTTTTCTTTTGAACTCTTACCTATTTGTTTCCTGTACTGGTCAACAGGAGTCCTTGATGTAGAGGCATCTTTTCTACCCATTGCTTTCAATCCAAAAATCACTGTATCAGAAAAAACAACAACAAAACCAAAAAGAAACACAAAAGCACAACATTATTCCTAAATAAATTACTTAGAAAATCAATTACTTATAATATCAGAAAAAATGGTAACAAGCAACATTTACATGATTATACACAAAGACGTAAGCCCTCCCAGAGTACAATGAGACATTGGAGTTAATCATCACTATTCTGAAGACTATTAGACACATTCTAAACATACCTTTTTCTCCACTGCATGGGTTATTAACATTACAGAATGCCTGTTAGTTTGAATAAAAATAAAGGAAAAAGAAAGGATTTAAACTGATTGCACTGTAATTCAGCATTTGGTACCACTGAATTACATTCCTATATAATTTTTTTGTTTAGTAAACCAGGGATTGAATGCAGTATTGTGAGCTGTTTCCATTATTGGCAAACATATTGACACTACACACAGGAGTTGGAGGCAGGACTAGGCATGTGTGCACCCACAGGTGTAATTGCTTGGGAAATCCACCTGCAGACACAGCCCTCCAGCAACCCTGAGCAAAAGAGAGGAACAGATATCTAAAACTCAGCAACCCTACACTCTCCTACCTTCCTGCCATGGGCTCTAGATATCTGTGAATAAAAAGGAAGTGGAAAACAAAAACTGAGAGCTGGGTCTGTGCCCATTTTACACCTCTCAGCCGTGGTATTGATAGTTTAAATCGTTTTCAATGCATTTACATAACCAGCTCCTGAATGAGCTTCTCATGTGTTGCACAGTGCAAACAGGTGACTCTAGGACTGCACAGAGAAGTGCACTCTGATCCATCCAAAGATGCTCTTTTTGGTACACTGGTGCTCCCACACCATCCATGTAACTGAATAAGCTTCATCAGAATAGCGTTCTAGCAAATTTCCAATGTACCCTATAACATGAAAAGCTTATGGTCTTGTATTCATCCCCTCACAGGGCTGCCATTCAAATGATACAGAAAGATTTTACAAATATGCTCATTTCACCTCTTTTTCCCTAATTAAGAAAAAACTGGCTTTTACAGTCATGCTTATTGCTTAGAATACTGAGATTGAACACTTTTGACTGGGCTGAAGACATTACTCACCACAGTGATGAAAAGCCTCACCATCTGACTGCCTCTATGACACAAAAGTCCCTATATCAATGCCTGTACTCACGAGAGGACTGACATCTTCCAGAAGTGTCAGATTCATGGTTTAAGCACTAAAGACGCACAACACCAAACCCTGCCTTTGCCCAACCAGCCTTGGCGAGCACAATGCGAAGGCCAAACTTTGGCTGAATCGCCCTGGATAGACCCAAATCATCTGCAGATTGTGCACATATGGCCTTGGAGTGTCTGCAAGAGTTGTCCTTTTCTGTTAGGCATAACCAGCCATGTTACAGAAAGACAAGCTTCCCTAGTCTCTGCCAAGGCACTCTGTCTGGGAAGCACAGCCCTTGAAGGCACTGAGATGCCAAATCATGAACCAAAAAGCATGATCCAGCACTGCTGAATAGGCTACTGTCAGCGTCCCAAGCTTAAACATTCATCATTACTTCCTTCATAGTTTCAAGAAAGGTTTAAAATATAGCTGCAGGAATGATCGCCCCAGTTATACGTGCATTTTAAACCCACAAAGTTTATTATTTTGCATTTATCTATTCTATAAGAACTTTTCAAATTTAATGAAAAACAACAAATCCAGGCTCCTTAATTTCACGTGTGGGACACAGGGCATAGAATTAACTTAGATGCTCCAAAGTCAGCAACCTTTTTAAAATGTATTCAGGAATAACAGCAAGGTATAGAAGACTGCTACTATTTTTTATTCTGAACTGAAAATTCAATTATAGTGTTCTAATGTTTCCATATATTACTTTGGTTGAATTCAGAGAATATTCCCTGATTTATGTAAAACACATAAGCAGTTAACTGTAATCCACTGGGTAGGGGTTTTTTCCCCTCTATTCCACTTCCCAGAAAGTCTCTAGACTGAGTTGGATTTCGCACATAACGCTCACATCATAATAATTAATAAAAGTACTATTTGAACTTTCAGCTAATTGAGTAGATAACAGATACATTTTTTTTACACTGCAAAACTAGTTCTTGGCTTTTTTACACCACTGTTAGAGACTGTTTTGACTCGCCTTTTGCAATTTCAATAGTTAATGATGTTTTGTAACAAAACATCAGCTGTGAAAGATGTTTGCAGTTTTAGCAATGCCAATAAAACACAAGAAGAAAACAAAGGCAAAATTTATTTCTTAATGACTTATTTCTTTATGACAATATGAGCCACTGAGATACTCGCATTTGTCCACATGGATCAGTGTCACCGACTTCCACATTTAGAACCTTGACTCCTCTTTGTTCTTCAAAGGGATGCAGTAATCATCATTCATTTCCACTGCTTTGATGGTTAGATAGCAAACGCTTGAGAAACCCATGGAGACATTGGCACATGCAGCCCGATGTCTAATAAGACAGCTATTTGCATAAAAGATCAGCCATGATTTAGAATGTGTTGTGATAGATGTGGAAAGGGAATATTAGCATGTATAAAACTGAGGTTGTTTTCACAATTTAATTCCTTGGGGACTGTGGCTCATCACCTTCTCTTGTAAAGAGTCCCATATTCCCTGAGGAAGCAACTTGCCATGAGCCAGACTTAAGCTAAAATATGGATTAATAAGAGGTAATATTTATTATTTATGAATCTTGCTGTAGGAGTGGTTTTCAATGTAACTTTCTGACCATTTTTCCATAAAGGAAAAGCCTGAAACGTTTATGATTCAGAAAACTAATTCTCCCCATTTAAAATAGCAGTGGTCATTCTAGAATAATAGGTCATCTTCACTGCAAATGAGATTTGCACTCAAGTCTCTGTCCATTTTGCTGTCTCTGACATCAGCAAGGGGAGGATCTGGCTTCTCCTGTATTTCTTCACCAAACCAAAGGGATAGGCAGCCTGCCACGCTGCATGCATCCCAAGCAACCTTCAAGTCCCTGAAATTTTAATGACTACATAACAATTTAAGAAAAACATATAAGGAGCTTCCCACTGCTCCTTTTACTGGTAACTAAAAATACTTCAAGAGTAGTTTCAGACAATACGAGTTGAGCTGTCCTCAACTTTCAAGCTTTTATATAAGATGGTTTTGAGAAAACAACGCGAGGCCCAAACAAATTATTTTTTTGTTTATTTCTACTTCAGAGATACTACAGGATTTAAAGACATCTTTGTTTTTGTAGTATCCTTCACTGTTTTTTCACCCTCTTTCATTTTCCCTCTAGGAATTCACCTTTGAAGGTTTATACTCTTAGAGAAACACATGATTTTATTGTTCTCTTCTTTTATTCTTAAGCAGTGGCTGAAAATAATTAAAACACATAATGGATTGTCTATTATCACCTTCAACAACCAATAGTATTTTGTGAGATAAAAACCAGTTCTGACTGTCCATTCAAGGTCTGGCTACAGAAGTGTTTGAATCCCAGCTCACGATTCTTGATGTATACATAACATTTTGTACATCAACAACAACAAAAAAGAAAATGAAGCAGCATTTCTTTAATGAAATAGAAAACACACAATGAATGACTTTAAAAATACTAATAAAAAATAAGAATAGGAAGTATATAGCACAAAGATTGTATTTTGAACATTATTGGTGCAATACGAAGGATTAATAACTGATAAAGCTTAAAATGTGAACCAGTGAACATTCACAAGACACACATATGTTCATGCACACAAATTTTCTTAGCAGTGATATTTGATAAGATGTCTGTATTCTTCAACAGTAAGTTGCCTAACAGAGGGCATGTAACAGAAATAATCAACAAAATGACTGGTTTTGTAGCTAAAGTATTACTAGTCAGTTGAGAGAAAACCAAGTAAAACTTCAGGATAGAAAAGAACTACTGCAAACGTAACACTGTTGAACCAAGTCTTCAGTATCTGTATATGTGCTCATCCTTAATTACAAATAGCTATCTACCTTAAAAATAATTCCTTTTTTGTTTGTTTTGTTGGATGCAATGAAGGTTCATAATCTGAACTCATAATCCAAACAGTTTTTACTATGATTCAAAGATTCTTTCCAAGCTTACTGAAAGGAACGAACTGGTCTTTTCCCAGTAAACTCCATAGTTCATAGTTTAATAAATACCGGATATTAAAACCCTTACAAGAGGGCAAAAATAGCTTTTTATCCACCTCAGGTAAAATTCGAGGAGAACATCAGATCATCTGCAAACATCAAGTTATTCCAAAGAACTGGTAGCGCTGCATTTAAAGTGAGAAGCTGTCTGCACGTAGGTATTTTGGAAATAATTGCTGTTGGTTATTTTAATTGGCATTTTTAGGTATACTGCTGAAGTACAGTAGTTAAGGTCTGTCAATACAGCAGTGGAAGAAGCCTGCAGCCAAAACTGCATGAACAACGCAGCTGAATTCTTCAACTATACTTTAGCCAAGAGAAGGAATTTAGAAATCTTTACCACTACTTCTTAAAAAGACCTTACACAAACAAAATTTGGAAAACAAAACACATTCATGTTTTATTGATAAGTCTTACAGTAGTCTTCACCATTCCTCTGGGGAAGGATGAGACTATTATTTCAAAGGAAAGGATACCCTGCCCATGTTGCTTCTTGCAGAATCTGCTTTTGCTTTATTGGGGATTTATTTATTTTTCTTTTAATAAAAGGAATTTAAATTTACTTAATTTAATCCTGAAAGCAGCAGAGGTGATGTAAATTCAATTAAATTTGGGAAAATTAATCAAAAAATCAGAATCTATAACTCCAGTTGGAATAGATATTGAAATTATTTTAACTTTCTACACAAGGACAACAAACGTTGTACCATATCCCAAGATTCAAACCATAAAGGAACTATAACTTTTATTCTCACATACATCAGGCTGTTTCACAGCTTCATGTAAGCATTAGTAACAAAACACATATTTTTACTTCTACTAAGTGCCCTTTGCACTCTAG